GAAGAGGGTTTCTGTCATTCAAAAGCAAATCATCGTGACACCATCAGCAGATGAATGGAGCAACACAACTGGACAAACACAGTCCACACACAGGAACATGACTCAGCCATGAACAGGAACGAGGCTCTGACATGTGGATGACCTTGAGCATGTCACGCTCAGTGACAGACGGCAGACACGAAAGGCCACACGTGTGTGACTCCATTTACATGAAACGTCCAGAACAGGCCGATCCACAGAGACAGGAAGTGGAGTTGTGATTTCGGGGGCTGGGGTGACGGCTGATGGGGACTTGGTGTCTTTACGAGGTGATGGAAGTTTTGAAACTGGACAGAAGCGACGGCTGCACAGCGTTGCGAATGCACCGAATGCCACTGAGCTGTTCGCTTTAAAATGCTGATTTGTGTGTTGTGTGAGTTCCAGCTCAATAGTAAAAAGACCAGGAGGCTCCTGCCGGACGCCGGCTTTGCTCCTGCGGGCCCTCGTCCCGCCTGCCCCTGTGCCGCCCGCACGCCCTTCCTCCTGGGCCCGAGGCTCCTGGGTCCTCTCCGCTATTTCGCCTGGGACGACTTCCACCTCCCAGGTCTGGCCACACCAAGGCACGTGACCTCACGGCTGGTCCCCCGCCCTCGCCTGTCATAGACGCCAGCTCTCCCTCCCCCCTCGTTCCACAGAAAGTGACACGGTGAATCCGTGCCCACAGACGTGCAGACACAGCCAGCATGTGGCCAGGGCGAAAAGCACGGGCCCCCCTCACGTTTTACTAATTTTCTACCAGAAAGTAAGTGCATGAAAATGGAGAAAAAAAGAAAATAGCTGTCCTGTGACCTCCCCAGAAATGGACGGGACCCGGGGACAGGAGGTGGTGGCCACTGGGACTTGAGTTTGAACTGTTAGGTTGCAGCTTTGTTACAAAGAGACAACATTCACGTCTTACCTTTGGAGTTGATGGGAAATCGTTCAAAAGAGACAAGGCCTCGGGGAAGGTGTCTGGAGGCATGTCCCAGTCCGAGCTACGACTATGTCCTGCCTGCAAGCGGGTGCCCGCAGGACACAGGGGCCTTGGCAGGGCTGGGAAGGGGCACCCCAGGTACTGCTGTGACTCTGGCTGGAGGTCACCCCCAACCTCTCTCATGCATCAACCTCAGTGAAGGGACATGTACAGGGACGTTTACCCACGCCCGCTGTGTGTGATCTCTGCCTGGCGCTGGGATGTGCTGCTTCTCCCAGGACAGCTGTTTCCAGCTTCATTACTTTTTTTTTTTTCTGATTACAGGGGAAATATGTTTTAGGAATTAAGCGTCGTGTCTGTAAATATTTCAGTTCTTATTTCTAAACCAGGGTCTCTCCTCCCCTCCCCCAGCACTGTGGACACTGGGGCTGGATCCTTCTCTGTGGCGGGGTGGCCTGGGCACTGCAGGTGCTGAGCAGGGTCCCTGGTCCCCACCCACTCCATGCCAGGAGCACCCCCAGTCGTGACAACCACAGATGTCCCCAGATAGCGCCCAGAGTCCCCTGGTGGGTAGAATCACTGCCCCACCCCCATTGAAAACGACCACTCTAAAGGATAAGGACATTTTATTTCATTTCATTTAGTTTTGGTGGCTGGCCAATACAGGGGTGATCCCTGGCACCACGCTCTAACCGAGCTAACCCGCCAGCCCAGGATAAGGGCATTTTAAGAACAAAATGGCAATGTTACACACTTTTAAAAAATAACAGTAACTCCTTAATGTCAATAAATGTCCACTCGTGCACATTTCCGTGAGTGTCTTATACATACACGTACCTGGATACAAGTACTTCAAAAGTTCATGGAAATACAGAATTAAAGCTAATATGAACCTTTCCATGAAATTTTCAAAGTACCCCCCTTATCTGCGGACTCAACTAGCTGCAAATGGAAAATATTTGAAAAGAAAAAATAATATGAATACAAATAAAAATCCAGTATATCAACTGTTCACACGGTGTTTGCGTCGTGTGTGGCATGACGTGTCATCTGGAGGTGACGGAGAGTCTGCAGGATGCGCGCAGGTCATGTTCATAGACGATGCCACTTTACGTTGGGGACTTGGGCATCTGACGATTTTAGTATCCTCAGGGGATGGTCCTGGAACCGATCCCCTCAGAATACTGTATATATCTGGGGAGTGGCAGGTGGCACACCTTTCCTCTGAGTGACACGTACATTCCAAGTCACCCTCTTTTACCATGAATCTCCTGGGGTTGGTAAGAGGCGCTTTGCAGCTGGATTTCACACAGAATCACGCTGCTGGTAGGAATCCTAGACAGTATGTGCCCCTGTTAAACAGGTGGGCAAACTGAGGCCTGGGCATGCCTGTAAGTGGCAAAGCTGGGACTTGGGCTAGGGTCTCCTGACCCGGTGTCGAGAACATTCTCCAGCGTAGAATCCGACTCTGGGCACCAGAATGGACACCCGGAGCCCAGCCCAGAAACCCACACTGAGAACTACAGCCTCAAGCTCTAATGGGGACTGAAGTCATGGTGTGGGTGATGGTGACTGTTCTATCATCAGCCCCAAACCCTCGGCCTGCCTTAATGCCCCCTGGGGGTCTTCCCCCCTTCTCTACCCTGACCACCCCCCAGAGGCATTACCAGATATTTATTTAATGAGTCCCCCACTGCTGGACACTCAGGTTGTGTGCAGTGTTTTCAGTATCACAGATGCTGTCGCCGTGAACACCCTCATTTTATCCTCCTCCTGGCTCACCCCTCTCACAGTTTAGCCCCTCCCGGTGCCTCAGTGTCTTTGACAGTCATCAGCTGACAACAGCTCCCCCCTCCTGGCACCCTGCAGCCTTGTGCATGCTGGGCTGTGTGAGGGCTCGGGGGTGCTGGGTGACCCTGTGTGGCCTGTGTCCCCTTCCCACATGGAAAAGGCACAGATGTCCAGAGACAAGATGGGCCAGGACTTCCCATCTCCAGAGGTAGTAACACCCAATGGTCAAGAACGTCGGCAGAGGACTCAGACTGTTCACAATCTGCCCAGGTCACTTCCTTCCACTGGGAAGCTTGACCAGGTGGACACAGCCTGAAGGCTTCTGTAATCCCCTCTCCTGCCATTTGGGGTCAGGAAGCAATTGATTTTTCCAATTGTGCAAGACTAAAATTTCTGACTTGTCTAATTCTGTTGGTTAGCTGATCAGGTCATCTCTTCATCTGGTCCATAACAAGTAGCTCCATCCACCCAGAGCCGACAGCTCTGTGAACAAACACATCATCCACGTCCCGAGTTATTGCAGGTGACAGTTCTGCCAAACCCTTTGCATAACATGGGTCAACATCTTTCCAGCTCCAACAACAGTTTTCTTACCATCCACTCTTTAAGCAAATGTCCCATATTTTTAGATTTTGGGGTTATGTCAGAACCCCACTTCTGGTACTAATTTCTGCATTGGTGAAAATCTAGCTCATCTCTGTGACAAAGAGACTCAGAGTCACTCCGGGTTTGAGTAGCCCCTTGCTGAAGCTCCTCAAACTCTTCCTCCCGAAAGACAGGCAGATGACAGTCTACAGTGTTAAGTTTTCTTTAATGAAAAAAGAACAAAGCCCACAAAAGCAGGGTTGAACAGTCATGCCATAAGGCAAGGATCCCCATTCTCCCATGCCTCCTGTGTGACCCCCAAACTCTCCCCAAGGACATCCCCTCTGGAGGAGCAACAGGAATAGAAATGGAGCCTGGGTCCTTGGCACCATCATGCAGAGGTCCACTCTGACCCTCGGGGACACTAGCTACTCTGCAGCATGCGGAGGGCGTGGTGAAGGTGCTGGCGGGCAGCTGCAGAACAGCCGTGGCTCCGCAGGACGCCCAGCGAGTAGGAGGTGCCAGGACGGCCATGCTCCCAGTGGGTGAGCATCAGCCCTGCACCCTCGCCCCTCAGCACCAGATGAGACTGGACTCCACTGAAGCTGACCTGCCAAGGGCAAGAAGCCGAGGTCAAGGGGGAAAGGGTGCCCTGGGCTTCCCCCACCTTGGCCCTCCCAACCTGGGTCTCAGTGCCTGCCCACCCATAAGAACTCAGAATTGGGAGGCCAAGAGCTCTACTGTACAGCCAGGGAAACTGAGGCTCAGACGGGGACTCTTCTGCCCACAGTCACCCAGTGAGACTCCCACTCTTAGTACTGTGACCTTGGGAATATCAGTCCCCCCATCGAGATCAGTCTCTGGGCTGTGAGGCAGGTGGAAACCCCAGCCAGGTCAGGACAAGCGTGTTACAGAATCCTACACCCTAATCTGGATAGAGAGGTTTTTAGTGTTTTTGTTTTTTTTTACTGTAAAATTTAAAAATAATAATAATAAGGAAAATTATTATATTATATACTATTTCTTTTAAACTTTGTTTGAGGACTGGCAGTGGTTTCTCAGGAATCACCATGGCTGCTCAGGAGACCTCTCACCTGAAAGTGATTCTCCAATGAAATGGCATTTTGATTGCTGCTAAATGGAACCACACACAGAGATGACCAAATTACATTTTGCCACCACTTAAAAAGGTCATTTATTTTCTTGATTTTGCAGTTTTTGCACTTAAGAGCCAACACTTTTTTTTTTTTTTTTTTTTTTTTTTTCCTTTAAAACCCAACCTTTTTTTTTTTTTTTCCTTTAAAACCCAACCTTTTTTTTTTTTTTTCCTTTAAAACCCAACCTTTTTTTTTTTTTTTCCTTTAAAACCCAACCTTTTTTTTTTTTTTTCCTTTAAAACCCAACCTTTTTTTTTTTTTTTCCTTTAAAAACCAACCCTTTTTTTTTTTTTTTTTTTTTTTTTTTTTGCAGGAGCCAAATGCTTCCTGGGACTCACCCAAAAGCTTGCACCAGAACATCCTGGTGGCCCAGGCCTGGCCCCACCAACCCGGGGGCCACCGAGGATGAGGCACCAGCCCTGCCCGCTCACCTGCACCGTCCCGTCACTGAACAGCAGCAGCAGGGCCTGCTCGGACACGAGGAAGCGCAGCAGGCAGAAGCTGGGGCTGGCAGGTGGTGCAGGCAGGGCCTCCTCCTGTGGGCAGACTCAGCCATGGGGATCGGTCAGGGGCAGGGGTGTTCCCACCTCCCAGCCCTCACCCAGCCCCACCCGGCCCTCACCTCCTGCAGCCGCTGCTGCATGTAGCGCGTGAAGAGTCGCAGGACGGCCAGCTTGGCACCCAGGGGGCTCGGCACAGCCCTTAGGGTGAATGTTTCCAGCCTCCCACGGTTAGGCATGTAGCAAACTTGGCTGGGGACAGGAGCACATGGCAGTGGCAGTTGTCAGAGCCTCTGTCCTGGGCACCCCATGCCTTGGGCACCTTCCCATTTAGCTACAACCCCCTGGTCAGTGGCTTTGAAGACCAGCTCTAGGCTGACTGGTGAGCTCAGCTAGTTAGAGCCCGGGGTTATGCCACCAAGGTCAAGGATTCGGATCCCCATACCAGCCAGCCGCCAAAAAACCAAAAGGACCGGCTCTACACTGACCACTCCGTGTCTGTCATCCAGCCCTGGCCTCTCAGCATGTCCTGTCCCTCCTGCCATCTCCCCACCTCAGCCGATGGCTGCTCCATCCTTCCCGCTTTCCAACAAAGTCCAGATGCCAACCCACTCTCATGCCCCCACCGGGACCACCAGCCCAGGCCACCTGGATAGTACAGCCACCTCTCCACTGGTCCCCTGCGTTAATCCTGCCAGAAAGGTTGCATTAAAAACATGAGTTGGACCCCTCCTCTTTAGTCCCAAACCCAACAGTGACCTGTGACACGCTCTGATGGCACGTCCTCTCCGCCTCCCCGTGGCTCACTCCTGCTTCCTTGCTGTTCTGCAAATCCCCCATGCTTAGTCCCACCTTGGGGACTTTGCACACGCTGTTCCCTGTGTCTCCAATGCTGTTCCCGATGGGCTCCTTTTCGTCTCTGCCCATGCCACTGAGAGCCGCCTCCCTGCCTAATCTGCCACCTCGCCTGGTTCCTTCAGAAAAGCACCACCTGAAATCAACTGTCATTCATTCGCTCAGCATCGTTCTGCCCCTTTGGGCAGCGAGCACCTGCGATGTGTGCAGTAAGTGCTTAATAAATGAGGAATGAGTTAAAAAGGTGGGGGCGGGGCCTGGTTCCCCAGGGGACAGGAGCTCCACAACTTACCCTCCTGGGGGGCGCAAGGCCATGTGGGTGCCATCCCGCAGCAGGACACCGCTGCCCCCGTCTGACAGCTGGTAGCCAAAGCCGTACTTGCTGGAATAATCGACCCACTCGGGGGCCCAGATGATGGGCCGCTGCTCTCCTGGGGGATCCTGTGCGGCTGGGTACAAAGACCAGGTGGGCTGAGCCAGGGGTCCGGGTGGGTCAGGGCTCAGCAGCCCCGGGCAAGCGCTGGGCAGGGACTTGGGGGCTTTAATGGGGGACTAGCAGGCTGATAAGTCCCAGGAATAGTCAACTAAGTTTTGCTGTGCAGGCAAGTCTGGGATCAAGGCTGTCTCTGGAACTGAGTAATTCTGGAACACTTGCGAGGTCTGAAACACCATAAGGCTTTGTTTTATTTAATTTTTAATTTTTTAATTTTTTAATTTTTTGTATTGAAAAAAAAAAAATGCTCCATGTCATGAGGAATCCTGGGATTAAAAAAAAAAAAAAAGGGCATTAGTGGAAAAACTGGTGACATCCAAAAAAGAGTGGAGCTTTGTTTAGAGGAACTTACCACATTGGTTTTTTAGTGCGACCACCCTCCTGGTTACAAGGCAGGGGGAAGACAGGGACTCTGGGTTATCTTTGCAACTTTCCTGTAAATCTCAAATTATTTTTTACTGTTTATTAAGGTGTTTTAAAAAATAAAAATTGGCTCTAGTTGTTTAAAGCCCATTTTAAAGTTCGGAGGCCAGGTGGAGCTACAGGGTCAGGGAAAAGCTGAGAAAAAGAAGCTAAATCGATTCACTTGATAAAGAAAAGGCCTCCAGGTGGGAGACCTTGAGCCGGGGCCTGGGCAGGACGCTGTGGGTTGGTGGAGGTTGAGGGGAGGCAGAGAAAGAGGGGTCACGGTACTGGGACACTGGGGGACGGGACGGGGTCCTGTCTCAGCGTGTGGCCGATGGACGTCGCGCTCGGTGTTGGTCCGGAGTGCGTTTCCCTAGCGTGTACTGTGCACAAAAAGGTCGAGCTGCCTGTCTGAAGTCACTGTGCCCTGAGGTTCCCTCTATATCCACCACCTCCCTGTCTCCAGGGGGAACCCCACAATTATCCAGACGGGCCCCAGATGGGGAAGAAGGCAATTTTCCTTGGACGCTAAGAGAAGAGGTGACCCCAGGGCTGCGCTCCTACCCAGGGGGCCGGCGTCCAGGCAGAGCTGCAGGCTTCTCATGGCCGCCTCCACCTCCAGCCGTGGGCTGCCCTCGGGCCCTGGTGAGACAGACCTATGTGGGGGCAGACAGGCCTGGGTTCCCACCAAGTGGGGCCCCTCCAACCAGTGCCCCTCCTGACTCCTGCGTCCAGGAAAATCTTATTTTAAACCCAGATGAATTCTGGGCATCATCCCGATTTTACAGATGGGAAAGTAGAGGCCTCGCAAGGTATGGCCTTTGCCCCCACTTGTAGGTTCTCCCTCCCCACGGGCAGTCCCGGCCTGAAACAGAGGCTCTGCTCACCTGCCGGCTCACTCCGAAGCGTTCCTCGTGCGAGCAGGTGGATGGGGACCTCAGGGAAGGGAGTCACTCGCTCAGACAGGGAGGCCTGAAGAGGGAGGAGCCGGGGTGACGGCTGTCCCAGCCCTGGGGAGCGGCCTGAGGTGGGTGAGGGGCTCTGGCCTCCCCCTCTGCCCCGCCTTGCTCAGCGCTTGAAGGAACTGGTTTCCTCTTGGATGCAGTTGCAGAGCATCTCAAAGCATACAGTAGGCACTCAATACATGTGATGGGATGAACCAATGGAAGGGAGCAGGGTCTCATGGCCTGGGGCCGGCTCTTGGGGAATTCCAGGTTGGGGGACTGAGATGAACACAGATGGGACGCAGCCCTGATGGCTCAGGGGGGACCAGAAGGAGGGGTCCAGGCCTGGGGATCCCAGAGCTGGGTCGGGGCTTCTGTTCAGGGGTTCAGGGAGGCCTGCCTGGAGGAAGGGGCTTTAGAGGGGGCTAGGGATGCCCTCCACGTGCTCCCAGGTGTCCCCCGGCCCCGATTTCTCACCTTGCTGCCCCACTTCATGGAACCAGGTTTGGGCTCATCTTCTCCTGGACCTGAGGCCTCTTTAGGCGTGCAGGGGCCTGAGGGAGGCAGGGGCTGTGGGGGGCAGAGCCTGGGCCCCATGCGGGGGGAGGCACCTGCCACCCAAATCCACCTCCATCATGGACGTGCAGGTGGGAGGTATGGACAGGTGCGGGGGACGTGGGTGAGGCGTCGGGCAGGTGGGGATATGGGCAGAGGTGGGCAGGTGTGACCCAGTGAGGGACTCACAGGGTGGCCGGCACTGGGTCAGCAGCAGCCGGCCCACCTTCCGTAAGAGCCTGCCCAGAGGCTGGGGGACTGCAAAGACGGGTGGGCTGTGGCAGGAGTGGGGTGGCAGCTGGTCCGGAGTGAAGCCCTTTGTAGGAGGAGGCGTTTGAGGTCAGCCCCTGGCCCAGGTTGCCCGGCTCCTGAGCACCTGGGTCACCTGGGGTGCTGGCCTGGGATGAGAGGGGCCCAGGCATCCCGCCAACCTCATGCCTGGGCTGGGACGGGCTCCGTGCCCGTGGCCACCACCCACCTGCGTGAAGAAGTCATCCTGCAGCAGGTGGTCCAGGCTGGGCCGCTCGGCCGGGTTGGGCGCCAGGAGGTGGGCGATGAGGCGTCGTGCGTTGGGTGATAGGTGGGCAGGCTCCGGGTAGCGGCCATCGCGGATGTTTTGGTACATCTCCGACAGGGGTGCCACCATGAAGGGCGGGGCGCCTGTCAGCACCGTGTACCTGGGCCAGGTGGGGGGCAGGAAGCTGGGGACCTGCTTGCATCTGCCCTGGGTGTCCAGGCTTTGCTCACACCTACCTGTGTGCACCTGGACACACCTATACACCTGGCCATACCTGTGCACACCCTCCTGTGTCCACACTTTGCATCCACTTTCCCATCCCCCACCCTACATCCCCTCGCACTTGGCCATTCCAGTGCACCCTTCTCAGAGAACAGCAGCATCTGTCTGTCCACCTGCCTGCACCTGGCTCACCCCGTACACACCTGCTCCACTCCTGCCTATGCCTCACACCTGCACATACGTGCCCTGATCTGCTTGAGCAACTGCCACCTGCCCATACCTGTCCATATGTCATACCTGCCCTCCCTCCACGTGCATGCCCACATGTGCCAACTCATACCTGCACACTCCAGTGATGGCAGGTGAGGGTCCCACCTGCCTCCCACCCCACTCACCTGTCCACGTCTGTTCTGTGTAAGCTCCCACCTGCTCATCCCCCACTTATTCCTCCCTGTACATATGTACACACGCCCACCTGCCCACACCTGGTCCCACCTGGGCAGTCCTGCCCACCTCCCCCAGACCTGGGCTCCTGGGGTCACACTCACATGATGCAGCCCAGTGCCCAGATGTCTGACTGGCAGGAATGCCCATTCCTGGAGACAACCTCTGGGGCCAGAAAGTTTGGGGTCCCGCAGAGCACTCTGGGAGGGGATAAAGGGGGGCTCAGGAAGGCTGGGTCCTCATGCCAGACCAGGGCCCACCTGTGCCCACCCAGAGACTGCTCAGAGCCTGCCACTCTCACCTGTGGCAGCGGCCCCCCGGCCCCACTCTGGCAGCCAGCCCCAGGTCTCCGATCTTCACCTCCATGTTCTTGTTAAGGAAGAAATTACCTGCCCGTGGAGGAGGGCAGGTGGGTCACCCCCACTACCCAGCTCCACCCTGGCGGGTCCCCTTCCCCAGCACTCACTGAGCTTGAGGTCTCGGTGCACGATGCGACGCTGGTGCAGGTAGCGCAGGCCGCTGACCAGGCCCCGCAGGTAGTAGCGCACCTCAGGCTCTGTCAGGGTCTTCCGTGCCTTCAGCACGTGGGCCAAAGACTGCAGGTGACCGGCAGGTGGCAGTGGTGGTGCCAAGCAGACACAGGGGAGTTCAAGGGGCCCAAGAAAGCAAAGGTAAGTTCTACTTGGCCAAGGTGGGCATATCTGATTGTGGGACAGGCACAGGGGAGCGTAAGGGAGCTCAGGTGCACACAGGCTCAGATGAGTCCAGGTAGGAACACCTGGATTCGGGGGGTCCCAGATGGCCACAGATGAGTTTGAGAAAGGACAGATGATCGGAGATGAACATGAAGTGGTCATACAGTGGGCACAGGTGGACACAGAGGAGCCCAGGTGTGCGTGGATGAGTTGAGAGAGCATAGGTAGGCACAGGTGAGTAGAGGTGGCCATCAAAGGCCCTACGTGACACAGGATGTGCTGGTGAGTGCGCCCTGACAGAGGGCAGAAAACGTGCACGGCAAGGGCACAGGTGCACCCAGGGGCAGACACAGACGGGCACGGCAGACACGGCGCGGTCCCACGGCTCCTCTCACCCCGCCCGTGTCCCGCCCTCTGCCCCTTCCCGGGCACCTGGCGGCTGCAGTACTCCAGCACCATGTACACGTGGTCATGGTCAGCGAAGTGTCCGTGGAAGGCCACGATGTTGCGGTGTCGCAGACGGCTGTGCAGGGCGATCTCGCGCTCCACCTGTGGGCAAACCCCGCCACGTACACACCCGGCAGGTGCACACGCCCTGCAGGATTCACACCTACTGGCAAGCACCCCATGCTCACAAGTGGGACGGAAGGGCAGGGACTCCTCTGGGGCCCCTGCGGCACTGATCAGGGGTACATACCTGCCCCCGAGGGTGCAGCCGACCAGCCCCGCTCCCGCCGCGGGGCACCACCTTGAGGGCGAACACGGCGCTGGTGGACATGTCCGTCAGCTTGTAGCAGCGGCTAAAGGCGCCCTGCAGGGAGGGGGACGAGCCGGCTCAGCCGACAGGTGCTCACAGGTGTGCGGACAGGGGTGCACGGAGGCACAGGGCTGCCGGGGACCCCGGTGTGGCCAGGCTTCTTCACACACACCCCTGAGACAAAAGGACACACAGCTCGCTCCCTCACACCTGGACACACAACACACGAACCCAGGCAAAGGCACCGGGACACATAAGACGCAGACACACAGACACGTCCACAGCTGAATACACGTGAGTATAGCCCAGGGAGCACAGTATAGTGCCCGGTCACACACACAACCCCCAGACACAGTACAAACCCCGGATACAACACACAAACACACAACACCCGGACACAAAACACCTGAACACACATGACACCCAGACACACAATACAACCCCTGGACACAACACACAAACACACAGCACTTGGACACACAACACCTGAGCATACACACAAAACCCACACAACACGACCCTGGACACAACACACAAACACACAACACCTGGACACGCAACACCTGAACAAACACATGACACATGACACCAACACAACCCCTGGACACAACACACAAACACACAACACAACACCTGAACACATTCACAACACTCAGACACACAATACAACCCCTGGACATAACACACACGACACAAGGCTACAGAAAGCAGAGATGTACACAACACCTTCACACACACACACACACACACACCTGGAGACAACGCAACAGAGTCGCGTACAAGGCACCGACACGCACATCCACACCCACACCCTGGACCTGCATCCCAGGGACACACAGCCCAACGCGCCACTCACCGGTTCCCGCCACCCCACACGGCACCGTAGGACCGGTCGCCACAGCCCCGGACGTCCCACCGCGCAAGCACCATGCAGACCCCAGACTCGCGCGGACACACGGCACACGACACGTGCACGCGAAGCCCGGGGCGCACGCCCTGCGCCCTCGCCGGGGCTCCCCACCTTGCCGATCAGCTTCCCGCGCCTGTAGACGCGTCCCGAGCCCG